GGGGACATTTTAACTTCACGAAGGATATAATAATTTTTTTGAAAATAGTTTCACAGAACCTAGAAGAAACAACAAGAAATATTAATTTTTTGACCCACTATACCACCCAAACCTACCCATCAAGGTGTCTTCGTTTACAAGGGGTAAAGTTTTGTGACTTTGCTGTTATATAGCGGGGAAAAGTTTAGTTACCATTTGACAAAAATAACTATGTGACATTGTTGTTATAGTGGGTAGAATTTAGTAACTTATTGTGATAAGAGATAGTTTTGTGACTTTACAGCAATAGTGAATAAAATTCAATGACTTGCATGAAAATAAACCTACAACGGGATATTTTTATCAGATAAATCTGCTCATATTGAACAATTGGCACTCTAGAAGAAGTGTATGCCAATGATCAACATATTTAACGGAAGCAGTACATTAAGAGTAACAGAGAATATGTTTACCTGTTTTCAATAGGCATTGTAAATAAACATATGGAACGAAGATGATCTAACACCCCAGCCATGAACGATTCTGCAATCTTGGTCATCCCATACCGATTTGGTTCAGTAGATGCCATAAAAACGTTTTCTCCATTCTTAGACAAACTGATGTGCAAATGTGATCCAGAGCCAACATCGTCTTTTGAATATTCATCATACCAGGGATAGACATTATCGTAATAATACCTAGACAGTAAAGTAAAGAAACATCAATTATAACTTGAATTGACCTTTCATCTTATCAATGTTAATGACATTGATAAGAAACAACGGAAGAAATTGTACAAGGGTACGCAGAATATGTTAATGATTCTGAGCAGAAGGGTTCAATCTAATAAAGACGAAAAACATATCCAGATAAACAAGTAAAAAGAAAAATGCACATGAAAAATGCTGTGGTAAAACTGCTACCAACCTTGGCATAAAACTTGCTAGCAACCCATGTTTCCTTGCAATTCCTTTGATGATTTCATGTGTAATTATTAAGTTATTAGCTGCTCTACGACAATCTGTGTATTCCAGGACAATTTCGAACTGGCCTTTCCCAGCTTCTGAATGTAGCTGCATACTAAAAGGAGGAAACATCAAATGGGGCAGTACAGTAGGCCACACTGTAAAATATATGAGCTATCTTGTTCTCATTCTAGGTAAAAGTGAAAATTATGTAGAGATTGTTGATGATGTTCATAAAGAAATGATCCACGTAAACCATAACAGCAAATAGACGACTTATTCTTTTAGGTAAAGACTATCCATGGTCAACAGTAAATTAGTATAAACGGATCAGACTTTCTCTAGTTCTTCTTTGCAAGGTTCAACCAGGATTACATAACACAGATAGTTACAAGTCATATTCTTTGACCGAAAATTATTTTCTCGTCTATTCCAAATTAAGACACATTTTGACTCGGCACAGACAAAACAAAAGACTTTTGAAACTCATAGTCTTTAAAGCATAAAGGGTAAAATATTTGTGTGACAGTAAAAGCTTCTCATTAAGGGTAAATAGAAAACTTAAAGTAAAATTGTTTCCAAATATATAAATGTGTCATTCTTTTTCGAATAGATGAGTAAGGAAAGTGTCACATAAATTGAAACAGAAGGCGTACTAATTAAAGAACTAAAAAATGCAAGAGGGTGAAAATATGGTGACAAAATATATGAGCTAAGAAAAAATTCTTGTCTTTACAACCAGAAGAGGCTCAACTTTTTAAAATGCAAAGTTGTTAATTATTTTTCTGTAATCGATTTCATCTAATAATTCTGTTTCATCTATACATATAGATAGATAGATAGATAGATAGCAACTTAGAATGAAAGAACCCGGTTCAAGAAGTTTGAAGACTTAATTCCAAATTTAGTATTGTTGCTTTAAATATTTCCAGCAAGCTTTAAACGTGAGAAAGAACGAAAAATCAGACACGATATATTATAAGAAAAGTAAAGTGAATTTTAACTATGTTTTAATAGAAGCAATATAGATTATCGGAAGTTTGGAACAACGAATAGTTGACCTTAGAAAAAGTAAGAAAGAATATACGACTAAGTATGCTGGGGTTGGGCAGGGCACAGGGAGTGGGGCGGGAGGCAGGGGGGGGGGGTAAGGGGAACAAGGAAGCCTGTAGGTTGAGAATTAGGTCATGGAACATAGGAACATTGACGGGTAAGTCTATAGAGTTGGCGAAAATTCTCCAGAAGAGGAAGGTCAATATAGCTTGTGTCCATGAGACAGGTGGGTAGGATCAAAGGCGGGGGATGTTGACGGGTATAAGCTGTGACGGGCATAAGCTGTGGTACTCTGGAGTCACGAAGGGTAAGATGGAGTGGTTATTGTGGTGGATAGAGACCTTAGAGAGTTTGTGGTAGAGGTTAGGCGAGTGAATAATAGATTAATGACTATTAAGCTAGTGGTGGGAGAGTGCACCCTAAATGTCATTAGTGCTTATGCGCCGCAAGCGGGCTTGGATGAGTAGGTTAAAAGGCGCTTCTGGGAAGGGTTGGATGAGATAGTGCGTAGTATTCCCACCTGCAGAGACGCTATTTATAGGGGGAACTTCAATGGCCATATTGGGTCAACTGCTGGTGGTTATGGCGAGGTGCACGGCGACTTCAGCTTTGGGGATAGGAACGGAGGAGGAACTTTGCTTTTGGATTTCGCTAAAGCTTTTGAGCTGGTGATTGCGAACTCTAGCTTTCCGAAAAGGGAGGAGCATTTGGTTACGTTCCAAAGTACGGGGACGAAGACTCAGATTGACTACCTCTTCCTCAGGAGGTGTGATAGAGGGTTGTGTAAGGATTGCAAGGTGACCCGGGGGAGATCCTCGCGACGCAGCATAGGCTCTTGGTGATGGACGTTGGTATCATGATAAAGAGGAAGAAGAGGTCTGTTCGAGGACAACCGAGGATCAGGTGGGAAGCCTTGACAAAGGATAAAGCTCAGGAGTTGGAGAGGAGGTTATCGGCTATGGGAGCCTGGAGAAGTAGTGGGGACGTGGCCGCTATGTGGATGACGATGGCGAACTGTATAAGGGAGGTGGCGAGAAAGGTATTAGGGATCTCGAGGAGTTACTCTAGCGGGCACAAAGGGGACTGGTGGTGAAATGAAGTGATCCAAGGTAAAGTGGAAGCGAAGAATGTTGCATAAGTTAGTAGGGAGCACAAGCGAGAAGGAGAGGAGAGCGAACAGAGAGAGGTCTAAAGTAGCTAGATAGGAGGCAAAGTTGGCAGCCACAGAGGCCAAGACTATAGCGTTTGGTCGTCTGTACGAGGAATTGGGGGACAAAGGCGGGGATAAGAAGTTATTCCATCTGGCCAAGTCGAGGAAGGCTCGGGATCTGGACCAAGTGAGGTGCATCAGAGACGAGGACGGTAGAGTATTGATGGGAGAGGCACAGATTAAGCGGAGATAGCGGACTTACTTTCATAAACTTCTGAATGAAGAAGGGGACAAGGATATTGTGCTAGGTAAATTGGGGCATTCTGAGAGTCTCTGAGATTTTGGGTAACTGTAGACGCATCAAGGTTGAGGAGGTCGTGGGGCTATGCGTAAGATGAGCAGGGGAAGAGCAACCGGGCCAGACAAAATTTCGGTAGAATTTTTGAAGTGTGTGGGTAGAGCAGGCTTGGAGTGGTTGATTGGGCTGTTTAATGTTATTTTGAGCTGGTGATTGCGAACTCTAGCTTTCCGAAGAGGAAGGAGCATTTGGTTACGTTTCAAAGTACGGTGATGAAGACTCAAATTAACTACCTCCTCCTCAGGAGGTGTGATAAAGGGTTGTGTAAGGATTGCAAGGTGATCCAGGGGGAGATCCTCGCGACGCAGCATAGACTCCTGGTGATGGACGTTGGTATCATGATAAAGAGGAAGCAGAGGTCTGTTCGAGGACAACCGAGGATCAGGTGGGGAACCTTGACAAAGGATAAAGCTCAGGAGTTGGAGGGGAGGTTATCGGCTATGGGAGCCTAGAGGAGTAGTGGGGACATGACCGCTATGTGGACAACGATGGCGAACTGTATAAAGGAGGCGGCGAGAGAGGTATTAGGGGTCTCGAGGAGTTACTCTAGCGGGCACAAAGGTGACTGGTGGTGAAATAAAGTGGTCCAAGGTAAAGTGGAAGTGAAGAAGGCTGTGTACTTGAAGTTAGTAGGGAGCACAAGCGAGAAAGATAGGAGAGCGAACAGAGAGAGGTATAAAGTCGCTAGGAAGGAGGCGAAGTTGGCAATCACAGAGGCTAAGACTGCAGCGTTTGGTCGTCTGTACGAGGAATTGGGGGACAAAGGCGGGGATAAGAAGTTATTCCAGCTGGCCAAGGCGAGGAAGGCTCGGGACCTGGACCAAGTGAGGTGCATCAGAGACGAGGACGGTAGAGTATTGATGGGAGAGGCACAGATTAAGCGGAGATGGCGGACTTACTTTCATAAACTTCTGAATGAAGAAGGGGACAAGGATATTGTGCTAGGTGAATTGGGGCATTCTGAGAGTCTCCGAGATTTTGGGTAACTGTAGACCCATTGAGGTTGAGGAGGTCGTGGGGGCTATGCGTAAGATGAGCAGGGGTAGAGCAACCGGGCCAGACGAAATTTTAACAATAACGCCATACATCCAAAAATCATGATACTGGTCAATGTACTTCTACGTATATTCTTATCCCTGAATTCAACTTTCGTCTTCCGAAACTAAGGAATATCCTTTTAAATTTGTGTGAAAATAATTTTCAGTATGTTTATGTTTTGCAAATATAATAAATAAAGCACAAGGAAAAACTAACTAAATATTGGATTATATTTACCGTAATATATTTTCTTGCACGAACAACTGTATGTTGCACCTTCAAGAGGGATATCAAGATCGACAACAAGAATTCTGGTTAAGGTAGAGCAACCAAAGCAATAGGAAAAAACATACACACAAAAAAATTCCACAAAGAAGTGTTTGTTAAGATACCATCATATTAAATACTTTTAAACTATAATACATAATTACCTAACTAACATGACAAAAGTGATCATTTGTGTAAGTTTTGATTATTTATGTATTATGCTAATGTAATAATATTTTTCGGTATTTAGATGATTGTTATATTACTAAACATAAAATTTCTCTCAGTGGTTAAATTTTATTGTTCCTTCATATTAATGATTTAAATCACCACGTGCCATTATTAATACTACTATTTATATTAATACTAATATTTATATAAATACACTTATATTATTTTTTTACTTTCACATTATTTTATTTTGTAATAATGATAATATGAGTTGAGCTTAAAGAAGAAATGAGAATTCGTATCGTCGACCCCAATTTGTTTGGAGCTGGGGCATAATAGTAGCAGTTGTTGTTGTATGTTTCAAAGCAAGCAAGTGGTACCTATGAGTCCATTTGTCAAGCTCAAGTAATATAATATCCTCAAACAAGTGATATTAGTTATGTGACATATAAAACAAGATTTCTTGTCATTTCGTAAATGGAAATTGCAAAATTCAACTAGCGATGAAAAATAGATTTTTCGAACTTTTTCCCCGGTATTTATAACATTGCTTCGTCATAAATGTCTTCCAAACGCAAGAATAATCTGGTAATGTACGTTGTTTGTTGCGGAAAATCGTGGGTTAACTAGCACACAATCACACACAAAGCAAATAGAGAAGAAAAAACAACACAAGGATATAACGAGGTTCTGCTAAGCCTAATCCTCGGGGCAGAAGCAGAGAGAGTTTTCCACTATGAATGAGAAGAAAAGCATAATACAATCTATAGAATCCCAAACTACAACCCTATATATAGATCCAAAATAGTCTCAAACCTACGATAGAAAGGTTTTCCAATTTGCCAAGGACAACAGGTTTTCCTTTCCCAAATCTATTAGGACAATGGGTTTTCCTAAACCTATAGGGATTATGGGTTTCCTAAAAAATACAAGAAAATAATTCAAGCCACCAATAAAAATTTACCCCTTGGCTTGAATTCTCATCAAGAGGAACAACATCTCTCTACCTTGTCTTGTTAAGAGACTCAATTTCCTCAGCTATAGCACTAATCTCATCGAGTTGGTTCTGTACTCGAAATAGCTTCTGGATAGCTATAACACTCAAACTCATCAACGGTCTTTGCAACTGCCAAAGCAAATCCCACAGGATTCGTATATCCAAGAAGATTCCCATCAACCACGTTTGCAAACCTTTGCGGTCGATTGATCACTCTCTTCTCTCTGCTTGTTGCAATGTTATATGGTTGATGTTGCACAGGTGCATTAATATTATCATCTTGATCAATATTTTGCACCTCCTCCACTTCCTTTACTTTAGAATTACTGGGCTGGGCTAGTGGAGATTCAATTTCTAGCTCTATGCGCTCACTGACACCACGGTCTATTTCTGCTATTGTCTTTTCCCTCTGACTGTCCAGTGAGGCAGATTCATTGTATGTTACATCCCTACTGATAATTAGCTCTGGAGTCTTTTGATCTGTGCACCACAACCTATAATCTTTCACTCCAGTTGCATACCCTAGAAATATGCACTTCGTTGTCCTCGGCTCAAGTTTTCCATCCCTCACACGAGCATAAGCAGGACAACCAAATATCCTTAAATTTGAATAATCAGTAGGCGAATTGGACTATACCTCAAAAGAAGTTTTGCACTCAATAGTTGTGGATGGAGATATGTTGACCAAATAACAAGTTGTATTGGTTGTTTCAGCCCAAAAATCCTTGCTAACACATGAGTGTGAAAGCATGTTGCATGCTCTGTGCCCTATCACAAAGCGTTACGTTCATACATTCTGCAACACCACTCTGTTGTGGTGTTCCGACACAAGTGAGGTGTCTCATTATGCCCTCTCTTTAGCGAACTCATAATTGCAAAATTCCAACCTATTGTCAGTTCGAAAACGCTCACTTTTCTTTCGTCTGCCTCTCAACTATCGTCTTTCATTTAACAAATATCGGAAATGCCTCATCTTTTATTTTGAGAAAATACACCCACACCATCCTTGAGTAATCATCAATCAAAGTCATAAAATACATGGCACCACTCTTGGAAGGAACTCTGTTTGGACCCCACAAGTCTGAATGTATATAATCTAACTTGTCCCTAGTCATGTGCTCGGCTTCTTGCTGAACTTTACTCTTGTCTGTTTATCAAACACACAATGCTCACAAAAATTCAAAACTTGATTTTTGTACCCATTCAACAAATTCTGCTTACTCAACAAAGACAATCCCTTATCACTCATATGACCAAGTCGCAAGTGCCACAACTCAAACAGATTCATATCACTTTTCCCAGAAGCTACAGCACTTTCCTCTTCAACTACACTGGTCTGAAGAAGATACAATTTAGAATGTTGTTTATTCATGAGTACCATAGAGCCTTTACACACTTTAAGTATTCTATTCTCGGAGTGAAACTTACACCCTTGATCATCCAATGTCGAAAGAGAAATCAAATTTCTCTTTATCCAACGAACATGCCAACACTCAATGTTTCTGACAATTCCATCGAACATTCCCAAACTGATGTTACCAATCCCCTCTGCCGGTAATGAATTATCATCTCCTATGTAGATAATCTCACTCATTTGCTTGTAAGTTGCAAACTAATTCTTGTGTGGAGACATGTGAAAGTAGCACAAGAATCAAGAACCCAAGAATTTTGCCCATGACTAGAACTCACATCACAGACTTCCCCTACATAGTCACTATCATCAGAAGTATTGCCAGTGTCAACAACATTTGCCGAATTATCTATTTCCTGCTTCCCTCTTTTCTCTTTTAGCTTGGGACAATCTCTCTTATAGTGACCTTACTCCTCCCACTCATAACAATTCTGCTTCGTTGCTCTAGACTTCAATCTGGCGGTGGACTTTTTCCTGTAAAAGTCTTTTTATTGTGTTCTTCCTCTACTCACAAGATTCTCGCACTCAATTATGCTGTCTGGAAAGCTCTTTTTAAACTCTTTAGATTTTAGCGCATTACTAACATCTTCTAGTGTAATATTGTCTTTCCCATATAGCAGCGTATCAGCAAAAGTATCATAAGACGGTGGTAAAGAACATAACACAATCAAGGCTTGATCTCACTCTCAATTTTGATCCATGTTCTTCAAGTCCATTATAATTGAATCAAACTCATCAAGGTCAGTTTTAACGGGTGTACCTTCGTTCATTCGGAGATTGTATAACCTCTTTTTCAGGTAGAGGCGGTTTGTCAGCGATTTCTTAGAGTACCGATCTTCCAGCTTCTTCCATGTTGTTGCTCAAGAAGTTTCTTCAGCAATTTCTCGAAGAACGCTATTTGTAACGCTCATTAAGACAGAAGATTGCACTCAAATCCCTCTCCTTCAAGTTTGCCTTCTCTGTCTCTTTCATCTCTTCAGGAAAATCCTTATCAATTGCCTTCCATAACCCTTGTAACACCAGGGACGATTTCATCCTAATTTTCCATAGACTGAAACTGGAACCCCGTCAAATTTCTCTATTTCGTATTTCGTTGAAGATGATGAAGACATCTTAACCCTAGATTATACATAGAAACTCGAACCTTGCTGCGGAAGATCGTGGGTTAACTAGCGCACAATCACACACAAAACAAATAGAGAAGAAAAACAACACAAGGATTTAACGAGGTTCGGCTAAGCCTAATCCCCGGGGCAGGAGTAGAGAGAGTTTTCCACTATGAATAAGAAGAAAAGCACAATACAATCTATAGACTCCCCAACTACAACCCCTATATATAGATCCTAAATAGTCTTAAACTTATAAGAGAAAGGTTTCTCGATTAGACAAGGACAATAGTTTTTCCTTTCCAAAATTTATTAGGACAATGGGTTTTCCCAAACCTATAGGGATTATGGGTTTTTGAAAGAATACAAGGAAATAATTCAAAGTCACAAATAACAAATATTACTGAAAATAAAGAATAATCTCGTAAGGTCCCTCTTACCTACTGCAAAGCTTTACTTTGAGTAAAAGGAAAACATGTACTAGTAGTTTGTTCTGTTGGTCCGTTGCATGAAGTCCTTATTTAGCTATACTCTTTTAGTATGCAGTCATTTTTCCATGGAACTATAAAGAAAAGTACTGTAAAATTTAGTAATAGTTGTAGTACTCTAAAAGTTCCTAATAGTTTGCAGTTCTCTATATACAATCAATTTCACAAACTAAGAATCAAGGAAATGCAAACTAACCTGCTCGACAATAATATTCAAGGACTGCAATGAAACGAAAACCTCTTCAAGAACTGATGATGCAACATCTATTGCTGCTGTAGAGCAGTAAGAGGACCTGTCAATTGCGGCCCATGTTTCTTTTCCATCCCTGTAGTACTTCTTTTCACGTTTAGTGTTAAAAGTTATAATAAGAAACTCCAAACACATCATATATCATAGAAGAGAAACTCCAGAAACAAAATATAAGAGGGAACTTCCCTGACATACTTTATTACACTCTTCAAAAGGTAAAATTCAACTTCAATCCCTACATTCATGACCTGAAAATATAGATATGCATTAGATCAAAAATATCTTTCAGCTCCTGTACAAAAGATCTTAAAACATACCAAGCCAAATTCATCTTCTAAAATTATTGAAAATCTACGAAGCACATCCCTCGGACAGTATTGCCATGCTTTACCAGGTTCAGTTAACATGTCAACCAAAACCATTTCTTGGTTTCTTGCCCTGTATCAAAAGGCGCACATAAATATGCATGATTGCAAATGTGTAAACTCTGGAATAGTATCAGTGCAAGTTATAGAGACACTTGATAAGTTAATTGAACAGTTGCCAAGCCAAGGTCCATATCTTTCTCGCTGACAAGACAAAACAATGAAATAATTAGACATGAGTTTGTCCACAACTTCAAACTATTCAACTAAAAACTATTTAGTTTGATGCTATATTCTGCCCATTTCCTACAAGTTGTCAAAGTAGCTGTATATCACATAGTATAATGAGAATTTAAAAACCTTCATCAATAGATCTCTCTCTCTCTCTCACTCTCTCCCTCTCTCTCTCTCTCTCTCACACACACACAAAAAAAATACCTAAAAAGAGATCACATTTATTTTATTTATGAATTGATAGGTTGTTAACCCTGATTTCGTATTGAATTATAAATACGTCAGCGAATTGAGTGGATTGGTCATTTGGAAATAAGTTTATAGTTGTTGGCTCGAAAGGTAAGGGATGGCTTAATCCGCAACCTGTTTTCCTAACATTAGATATTTAGAGAAAATTATGCACAAGTTGCTTCGAGATTTTAGAACTTTCATGATAAATGTCTCTTAAGTTGTTTTCGTGTTCGTTTAGACTTATCAGTGTGCTTATTATGGTAGCGTGATTAAGGTCGGGTGGTTGCAACTTATCTTATTACTTATTGGCCTTTAGTATATCGTAGGTTACTGTGGCTGTGAGGAAAGATGGTGGATTAAAGACATGTCCTCTGGTAGGTAAGGGAGTGGGGCAGGGGGCAGGACGTGGGGCAGGGACAAGGGTGGTAAGAGGCATAAGGGAGCTATTAGGTTGAGAATTGGATCTTGGAACATAGGGACTTTGATAGAGAAGTCTATAGAATTAGCTAAGATTCTCGAGAAGAGAAAGATTAATATAGCTTGTGTCTAGGAGACTAGGTGGGTAGGGTCTAAGGCGCGAGAGGCGGACGGGTTTAAACTGTGGCACTCAACAGGTAAGAGGGGTAGGAACGGAGTGGGCATCTTGGTGGACAAGGATCTCAGGAGCTAGTGATAGAGGTTGGGCGGGTGAATGATAGGCTGATAGCTATTAAATTAGTGGTTGGAGGGTGTACTTTGAATGTGATTAGCGCTTGCGCCCCAAGTGGGCCTGGATGAGGAGGTTAAAAGGCGCTTTTGGGAAGGTTTGGATGAGGTTGTGCGTGGTATTCCGCCCACTGAAACGATATTCATAGGAGGGGATTTTAATGGACATATGGGAGGTCTGCTGGGGGCTATGATGAGGTGCATGGCGGCTTTGGCTTTGGGGTCAGAAACGGAGGAGGTACGTCGCCGTTGGATTTCGCTAAGGCGTTTGATTTGGTGATAGCAAACTCGAGTTTTTAGAAGAGGGAGGAGCACTTGGTTACCTTCATAAGCACGGCGGTCAAGACCCAAATCGACTATCTCCTTCTCTGGAGGTGTGATAAAGGTCTCTGATTATAAAGTTATTCCGGATGAGAACCTCACGACCCAGCATAAGATTTTGGTGATGGACTTAGACATCGTGCTAAAGAGGAAGAAGAGGGTTGGGTGTGGTCGACCGAAGATCAGGTGGGGAGCTCTGACTAAGGACAAGGCTCAGGAGTTGCAAGAGAAGTTGTTGGCTGTAGGGGAGCAGTGGGCACCCGAGTAGCATGTTGACGAGGACGGCGGACTGCATTAAGGAGGCTGCGAGAGAGATGCTAGGGGTTTCTAAAGGTTATGCTAGACGCCACAAAGGAGACTGGTGCTGGAATGAGGGGGTCCAAAGGAAAGTAAAAGCCAAGAAAGCAGCATATATGAAGTTAGTAGAGAGCACGGACGAGGAGGAGAAGGGTATAAGAAAGCTAAGAAGGAGGCGAAATTGGCGGTCAATGGAGGCTAAGACTGCAACGTTTGCTCATTTGTATGAAAACTGAGGGACAAAGGCGGGGGCATAAAGTTGTTTCGGCCGGCTAAGGCGAGGGAGATGAAGGCGAGGGATCTGGACCAAGTGAGGTACATCAAAGACGAGGACGACATAGTTTTAATGGAGGAGGCATAGATCAAGCGAAGGTGGCTGACTTACTTCCATGAACTCCTCAATGAAGAGGGGGATAAGAGCATTGTGATGGGCAATTTGGAGCACTCTGAGAGCCATTCTGATTTTTGGTACTGTAGGCGCTTTAGTTTCGAGGAGGTCGAAGGGGCGATGCGTAAGATGAGCAGGGGCAGAGCAACCGGACCAGATGAGATCCCAGTTGAATTCTGCAAGTATACGTGTAAGGCTGGATTGGAGTGGCTAACTGGGTTATTTAACGCTCTTTTTAGGATGAACAAGATGCCTGAGGATTGAAGGTGGAGTACGATGATCTCGTTGTACAAGAACAAAGGAGATATACAAAATTGCAATAATTATAGGGGTATCAAATTGCTTAGTCACACAATGAAAGTGTGGGAAAGGGTGGTAGAAGTGAGGTTAGAACGACGGTGTCTATTTTCGAGAACCAATTCGATTTTATGCCGGGATGTTCGACTACGGAAGCTATCCATCTTGTTAGGAGGATGGTGGAACAGTACAGGGATAGGAAGAAAGATTTGCATATGGTGTTTATTGACCTAGAGAAAACATACGACAAGGTCCCCAGGGAGGTCCTTTAGAGATGCTTGGAGATTAGAGGTGTTCCTGTAGCGTACATTAGAGTGATTAAGGAATGTATGTGGAGCTAGGACTCAGGTGGGTACAGTGAGAGGAGACTCGGAACATTTTCCGGTTGGGAAGGGGTTACACCAAGGATCTATGCTCCGCCCGTTCTTATCTACTTTGGCGATGGATACTTAACGCGTCATATTCAAGGGGAGGTGCCATAACGTATGTTATTTACTGACAACATAGAGCTGACTAATGAGATGCGAGGCGGTGTCAACGAAAAGTTAGAGGTTTGGAGACAGATCTTAGAGTCTAAGGGTTTCAAGTTGAGCAGGACGAAGACGGATTATCTAGAGTGCAAGTTCAGCGTAGTGTCATAGGGATCAGATATATACGCGAGGCTTGACTCACAAGTCATCCCCAACAAAGGAAGTTTCAAGTATCTCGGGTTAGTAATCCAAAGGAAGGGGGAGATTGACGAGGATGTCACACACCGTATAGGGCGGGGTGGATGAAATGGAGGCTAGCATCTGGCGTCCTGTGTGACAAGAATGTGCCACCGAAACTTAAGGGCCAGTTCTACAATGCGGCGGTTAGACCGGCCTTGCTATATGGGACAGAATGCTGCCCAGTCAAGAACCCTCATATCTAGAAGATGAACGTAGCAGAAATGAGGATATTGCGATGGATGTGCGGGCACACTAGGTTGGACAAGATTAGGAATGAGGATATTCGGGAGAATGTGGGTGTTGCCCCTATGGAAGATAAGATGCGTGAAGCGAAGCTTAGATGGTTCGGGCATCTGGGAGGGAGAAGCCCAGATGCCCCAGTGAGGAGGTGTGAACGGCTGGCGCTGGCGGGTAGGAGAAGAGGTAGAGAGCGGCCTAAGAAGTACTGGGGAAGAGGTGATCAGGCAGGACATGGCGCGACTTTAGGTTACCGAGGACATGGCCCTTGGCAGGGGGTATGGAGGTCGAAGATTAGGGTAGAAGGGTAATAGGTCGTCGTGTGTTTTTCGGATCTGTTCCAGGTTTATTAGGACTAGCTGACTAGTACATTGTATTCGATTCTTAGAATGCCAGTATTAGGGTTGTTTTGGTACTATCTTCCGCTTCGGTTTTCTAGTACCCTATCGTGTTACTGCTTGTGGTTATTACTTTTGCTATTGCTATTGCTACTGCTTTCTTCCATTTATTCTTTCTCCGGTCCTTACATTGTTGACATCATTTTCCTGGACTTGTTGTTGTTCTTTACTTGTTCCTATTCTTCCTCTCGAGCCGAGGGTCTTTCGGAAACAGCCCATCTGCCTTCCAAGATAGGGGTAAGGTCTGCGTACACATTACCCTCCCCAGACTCCACTTGTGGGATCCTACTGGGTTGTTGTTGTTGTTCATCATAAATGTCTCCATAGCCAAGTATCTTTTTCTTTCGCAATTTTGCATGGTGGGACAAGTCACAGAAAAGCAAATACAGTTTCATATCTGCATGTCTAAGTTGTTTTGAGTCTTGGATACGAGTTTTATACTCAAGTTTTAGATGCTTTATGATGTTCACAAGCATGCTACCTATGAATGTGTTCTGAGTCAAGTAGGAACTAGTATTTGAGTATTACTATATGAATTGTATTTTCAAGTGAAGATATGTTTACTAATGTCGTGCATATGACACATGCTTAAGAACAGAATAAGATAGGGACAAAGTGTAAGTGCTAATGAACAATCTAAGTGCTAATAAACAAAATAATGTCCCAGCTAATAAAGGCATTGTCAGATTATAGTTGCCCAACTGACAGGAGTTGTGTGGATTACAATTCAAATGCTCATAATGCCGAGTCTATCATGCCTACTAGTTGACAAGGGTGGTGTCAAATTATTCCAACAAGCTTAAGCTAATAGAAGGAGAATAATCTAAGAATAAGAACAAGCTAAGAGACAGTACAAGGAAAGAACCAAAATCAATTTTAAATATATACATATATGGTGTTGAAACAGCATAACGATTTTCTTTTAAAGCATGTTGTATAATAGCTCTTCTCATGTGGTTTTTTATTATGTTATCACATGTTCAGTCTTGTGACTCACTCTTCATGTTTACATGTATTACAAGTACAGGTATGGATCCCGCACCTCAGTAGTGAGCTGAGATATTGAGCAGTTACAGTCAAGAGTATTCTTATGAGTACCACATTGTCTGTTGGAGCCTTAAATTTATTCCAACATATTGTTTCTATTACAATTTTCTGCTGAGTTCTAAAGGATAATCCTAGTGTTTGCTCCATGAACTCATGGAAGTATCTTCAATTATGTTGGGACTTTCTATTTGAAGTTTAAGCCATTATA